GAGGGGTCCTGTGGGGCTGTGAGGGAAATTGAGGGGTCCTGTGGGGCTAAAGGGCTTTGAGGGGAAAGGAGGGGGTTCTGTGGGGTTGGGGGTGGTCACAAGGGCGAGTGGGGGAGTTGTGAGGGGGAAAGTGGGGGTCCTGATGGGTGACAGGGGCAGTGAGGAATCTCGGTTTGGGGTGTCCAGGGGCCTCAGTTTGGGGTGTCCAGGGGCCTCAGTTTTGGGTCTCTACGTTTGGTGCTCCAGGCTGCTTGGTTTGGGTCTTCAGGGAGATCAGTTTGAAAGTGCAGAATAGGTTTGGTTTGGGGGCCCAGAGGTCTCAGTTTGGGGTGTCCAAGCTGCTTGGTTTGGTGGTCCAGGGGCCGCCAGTTGATGGCCCAGGAGTGGTGAGGACCCTGAGTCCAGCCCACCCTGTGCATCCCTGGGAGAGCTGCTCAAACCCCCTGGAACCCCAAACTCTTGGATCCCCAAATTCCCCCTGGGAGCGCCAAACCTCCCTGGGAATGCCAAACCCCCCTGATCCCCCAAATCCCCCTGGATCGCCCAAACCCCTGGGAACCTCAAACCCCCAGAAACCCCAAATCCCCGTGGATCCCCCAAACCCCCCTGGATCCCCGAAACCCCCCGGATCCCCCCAGGCGCGGTGGGGCCCGGGGTGCCCCATCGTTGCCCTGACCCCCGTGTGGGTGGCAGGGAGGCCGATGTCCCCATCGACGTGGAGACGGTGACGCCCATGCCGGTGCCGCTGTACGACAACCAGAAGGCTCGGAGCGTGATGAACGAGTGCGAGCGGCACGTCATGTTCGCCCGCACCGACGCCGACGCGCCCCCGCCGCCCGACGACTGGGAGGAGCACGTCAACAGGTGGGAACCGGGAACGGGAGCCGGGGCCGGGACTGGGAATGGGACCCAGGGCTGGGAACGGGAACTGGGGCCGGGAACGGGAGCCGGGACTGGGAGGAGCACGTCAACAGGTGGGAACCGGGGCCGGGACTGGGAATGGGAACTGGGGCTGGGGCCGGGAACGGGAGCCGGGACTGGGAGGAGCACGTCAACAGGTGGGAACCGGGAACGGGAGCCGGGGCCGGGACTGGGAATGGGACCCAGGGCTGGGAACGGGAGCTGGGACTGGGAGGAGCACGTCAACAGGTGGGAACCGGGAACGGGAACGGGAGCTGGGACTGGGAATGGGAACCAGGGCTGGGAACGGGAACTGGGGCTGGGAGGAGCACGTCAACAGGTGGGAACCGGGAACGGGAGCCGGGACTGGGAATGGGAACTGGGGCTGGGAACGGGAACTGGGGCTGGGACTGGGAATGGGAACCAGGGCTGGGAACGGGAACTGGGGCCGGGAACGGGAGCTGGGACTGGGAGGAGCACGTCAACAGGTGGGACCCGGGGCCTGGAACGGGAATTGGGGCCGGGAATGGGAACCGGGGCTGGGAACGGGAATCGGGACTGGGAGGAGCACGTCAACAGGTGGGAACCGGGGCTGGGAATGGGAGCCGGGACTGGGAATGGGACCCAGGGCTGGGAACGGGAACTGGGGCTGGGAGGAGCACATTAACAGGTGGGACCCGGGGCTGGGAACGGGAATTGGGGCCAGGAATGGGAACCAGGGCTGGGAACGGGAATATGGGCTGGGAACAGGAATTTGGGCTGGGAGGAGCACGTCAACAGATGGGAATGCCAGGGAATGCGGTCTAGGAATGGCAGGGAAGGCCAGGGAATTTGGGCTGGAAGTGCCAGGGAATAAGAATATGGGCTGGGAATTCCAGAGAAAGGGGATGCAAGCTGGGAATTCCAGGGAATGGGAATCCAGGCTAGGAGGAGCACATCAACGGGGGGGTGGCAATTGCAGAGCAGAGGAAGCAGGAGTGCTGTGGTGGTTTTGTGGGTGACCCCTCTGTGTCTGTCCCTGCAGGACGGGCTGGACCATGGCCCAGAACAAGCTGTTCAACAAGATCCACAAAGCGCTGCAGTCGGACAGGCTGGCCCGCCTGGCCAACGAAGGGGTGAGAGGGGCTGGGGTCCGGCCTCCCCACGAAACACGGGCTGGGCAGCGTGGAGACTGGGACCCTGGGGTAGCCCTAGGAGCAGCTCTGGGCTCCCCTGAGCCGTGGCTTTTGTGGGGTCAGAGAATGTCCTGGGCTGGAAGGACCCACGTGGATCATCAGTGCAACCCCTGGGAGCCCTGCACAGACACCCCAAAATCCCACCCTGGGAACCCTGCACAGACACCCCAAAACCCGAACACTCTGGAGCTCTGGCAGCCTCAGGGCTGTGCCCATTCCCTGGGCAGTGCCCAGCACCCTCTGGGGAAGAATCATTCCCAAAATCCAGCCTGAGCCTGGCCCAGCTCCAGCCGTTCCCTGGGTCCTGTCCCTGTCCTAGGGATCAGAGCTTCCCCTTGGAAGGTTTGGATTGCTCTGAGGGCTCCCCTCAGCCTCCTCCTCCTCCTCGGACAGATGTTATCCTCACTCCAGATGTTTGTGCAGCTCTCGCTGACATTTCCCTAGGGATGGGGCTGCAGTGCCATGCTCCATCTTCCTTCCCCTGAGCTGTTTTTTTGGGAATTGCTGCTTCCAGGCCTGCAACGAGCCGGTGCTGAGGAGGATCGCCGTGGATAAATGTGCCCGCAGGGTGCGCCAGGCCCTGGCCAGCGTCAACTGGGACACCAAACTCATCCAGTGGCTTCACACCACGCTGGTGGAGACCCTGAGCCTGCCCGTGCTGGCTGCATACCTGGATGCCCTGCAGACCCTGAAGGGAAAGGTGATAACAGGAGGAGCTTGGCTGTCACAGCGGGCAGAGGGGAGAGGCTGGAACTGCTGTCTCGTGGTTTGGGTGTGTTTTCTCAGTCTCCCCTGCCTCTGCTTGCAGATCCCCACGCTGATCGACAGGATGCTGCTCTCCTCCACGGCCAAGACGGGAGCAGCGGGCGCTGAGGCGCTGTCCCTGCTGCTCAAGAGACCCTGGGACCCCGCAGTGGGTGTCCTGTCCCACAATAAACCAGTGAGTGCCCTGCGGGCTGTGGGGGTCCCGTGGCAGATTCACTCTTCCCATGGTCTGCCTCTGTCCTCTCCCTGGGCTCCTCTGCTCCGTGAGGGGAAGGGAAAACCAGGATCATCAATCCACCCCAAAACCCCACCCTGGGCATCCCTGGGAGCTCTGCATGAACACTCCAAAATTCCACCTTGGGAGCCCTGCACAGACACCCCGAAGCCCAAACACTCCTGGAGCTCTGGCAGCCTCGGGGCTGTGCCCATTCCCTGGGCCGTGCCCGGCACCCTCTGGGGACAGAACCTTTCCCAAAATCCATCCCAAACCTCTTCTCTCTGGGGAAGAACCTTTCCCAAAATCCAGCCTGAGCCTTTCCTGGGAGCGGTGCTGTCCCTGACACGGCTCCTGTTGGCTCTGCAGAGCAAACTGCCCGGATCCCCCCTGATCCTCATCGCTTCCTCCGGCCCCGCCAACTCCCTGTTCCCCACGTCCCGGCGGCACCGCTTCTGGCAGTCCCAGCTCTCCTGCCTGGGAAAGGTCTGTGGGGTTCCTCTGTGGGGCTGGATCAGTGGGGCTGGATCAGTGGGGTTCCTCCGTGGGGCTGGATCAGTGGGGCTGGATCAGTGGGGCTCCTCCGTGGGGCTGGATCAGTGGGGTTCCTCCGTGGGGCTGGATCAGTGGGGTTCCTCTGTAGGGCTGGATCAGTGGGGCTGGATCAGTGGGGCTGGATCAGCGGGGTTCCTCCGTGGGGCTGGATCAGTGGGGTTCCTCTGTGGGGCTGGATCAGTGGGGTTCCTCTGTGGGCTGGATCAGTGGGGTTCCTCTGTGAGCTGGATCAGTGGGGTTCCTCTGTGGGGTGGCTGTGTGGGGTTCCTCTGTTGGGCTGAATCTGTGGGACTGCCTCTATGGGCCTCCTGCTGCTGTCCCCAGCCCTGCTGGCTGTCCCTGCTGCCTGTCCCTGCTGCTGTCCCTGACGTCCCCTCTCCCTGGCAGGTGATCCCCATCGCCACGTCCCTGCTGAACAACGGCAGCGGGGTGGGGGTGCTGCAGTGCCTGGAGCACATGATCGGCGCCGTCAGGGGCAAGGTGGCCGAGGTGAGGACAGCCCGAGGTGCCCCTGTGCCCCCCGTGCCAGCTGTGCCACCCTGGGCACTGCCCCCGTGTCTGTCCCGGCTCTCCAGCTCTGGTTTGTGTCCCGCAGATCCACAACCACTTCTCTCACAAGCAGATCATCCTGATCGGCTGGAACACGGGTGCCTTGGTGGCCTGCCACGTGAGTGCCCCGTGCTCGGTGTCCTCGGGGGCACGGCGACGGTGTGGCTCTGCTAGGGCAGGCCAGAGGGCTGCTCCAGGGCTGGAGCCCCTCTGGGGCTGGGACAGCTGGAAACGCTCACCTGGAGAAGGGAAATTCCAGGGGGAGCTGGGAATGCTCACCTGGAGAAGGGAAGGCTCCAGGGAGAGCTTCCAGCACATTCCAGGGCCTAAAGGGACTCCAGGAGAGCTGGAGAGGGACTGGGGACAAAGGATGGAGGTACAGGACACAGGGAATGGCTTCCACTGCCAGAGGGCAGGGATGGATGGGAGATTGGGAAGGAATTCCTGGCTGGGAAGGTGGCGAGGGGCTGGGATGGAATTCCCAGGGGAGCTGTGGCTGCTCCATCCGAAGTGTCAGGAGCCTGGCAAAACAGCCTTCATTCCTGGGATGTGCTGGGCTCTGGGAATGCTGAGTGGTGGAATGTGTCCCTGCTGGGCTCTGACTGCTCTCTCCCTGCCCAGGTTTCCGTGATGGAATATGTCACTGCTGTCGTGTGCCTCGGCTTCCCCCTGCTCACCGTGGACGGCCCCAGAGGGGTAAGGACCAGATGGAGCTGCTTAAAGAGCCCTGCTTGTCTTTAAACCTCCCTGGCTTGCTTGGTGGAACGGTTCCTGAAGTCCAAGGCTGTTTTTTTGGGGGAGTGTGGGTGTGAGTGTTGCTTGGAGGAGCTGTTGTCTCAGAGGAGGGGCTGTAGCAACCCCAGTGGGATTCTTGATGCCACAGCTGGTGTGAGGATGCTCTTGGCTTGTCTCTGCTGTGGTGTGGGCTCCTTCCTGGGGACCTGTGTCCCTCGTTATCCCTGTGCTGTGTCCCTCATTATCCCTGTCCTGTGTCCCTCATTATCCCTGTCCTGGCTCCTTTATCCATGTTCCTTGTTATCCCTTGTTATCCCTATCCTGGTTCTATTATCCCTGTCCCGTCTCCCCGGTTATCCCTGTCCCGTCTCCCCGGTTATCCCTGTCCCGTGTCCCTGGTTATCCCTGTCCCGTGTCCCCGGTTATCCCTGTGCCGTGTCCCTGGTTATCCCTGTCCCGTGTCCCTGGTTATCCCTGTCCCGTGTCCCTGGTTATCCCTGTCCCGTGTCCCTGGTTATCCCTGTCCCGTGTCCCTGGTTATCCCTGTCCCGTGTCCCCGGTTATCCCTGTCCCGTGTCCCTCATTTTCTGTCATTTCCACGGAGCCCAGACTGTCTCTTTTGGGTGTGACTGGATGGGGACGGACACAGCCACGCTGGGAAGTGGCTCCTTCCAAGGGCAGTGGGATTCCATTGGAAAGGCTCCATTTCCTGCTCCCTTTTCTGGAGCACGCTGCAGCTCCAGCAGAGCTTCCCTCCGGGCTCAGCAAATCCCGGTGGACCTCAGCCCTGGGAGCCCCTCAGCTCCATCCCAGCCCTGTTGCAGGATGTGGATGACCCCCTCCTGGAGATGAAGACCCCGGTGCTCTTCGTCATCGGGCAGAACTCCCTGCAGTGCAACGTGGAAGCCATGGAGGATTTCCGGGAGAAGATCCGGGCCGACAACAGCATGGTGGTGGTGGGAGGAGCAGATGACAACCTCAGGTGAGGCTCTGCCACCTGAGCTCTCTCTTCCTGGGAATTCTGGGCAGCACCTGAGCGTGCTGGGGACACCAGCCCCAAATCTGGTGTTGGAACGAGGTGGGAATTGCATGGGAAAACTCCAGGCTTTTCTGTGTTGGGAATAACTGCAGGAAAAACCTGTATGGGAATGGGCCTGATTTCGGGCTGGGCTTAATTTAGGGCTGCACCCAGCAGCACTGAGGAGGTTTTGGAGCATCACAGGAGTCAGGAATCGCTAGCAGTGAAAATCAGTAAAAGAGAGGAAAGAAAGAAGCCTAAAACTGACACTGGGTGTGAAGGCAGAGCTCTGAAATGTCAGCTTGGTTTTGGGGAGTCACAAAAAGGATCTTTGTCCTCATCAGGGGAAGAATGATGGCAGTGTGCTCGTGGAAGAGTGTGGATTTCCACCTGTTTTGGTTCTTTTTTTCCCCTAGGATAAGCAAAGCCAAAAAGAAGTCAGAAGGGCTGACCCAGAGCATGGTGGACAGGTGCATCCAGGTACCCACAGGCATCGGGGAGGGGAAGGTGGAAGGTCCCAGGTTACAGCAGGGATGGGTTGGGCTGGGGGGAATCCCTGGTGTGAGATCCCTGGGGATGCCCCTTAACCTGAGCAGTTTCCTGAGTGTCCCAACACATCTGCCTGGGGACACAGCAGCATTTTGGGAGAAACCATTGTGGTTTTTTCCCCACAAGTCCCGGATCAGTGCTTTGTGAGCTTCACTGAGAAATGTACCTTCTCTCTGTGAGGTTTTGGGGATTTCCTGCAGAAAACCAAACCCACAGAGCCTTACCCGTGTATCCCCTTGGGAATACTTCATTTCCTTGCTTCAAGATCCATTGCTCAGAGACCTGCCCAGCACTGAATCCCACTGTTTATCCCAAAATTGCCAGGATGAGATTGCAGACTTCCTGACAGGGGTGCTGACGCGGGCCGAGAGCCACTCGGGCTCCGAGCCCCGCGACCTGGACGCCGAGAGGAAGAAGAAGCCCCGTGAGTGCAGCAGGAGGGATCTGTCCTTCGAGCTGCCCGAGAGGAGCAGCAGACCCGCCTCCCCTGCAGCCAAAGTGCCAGCCTCGCCCTCAGGCTCCGAGGTGGGGGCTCCTCCCGGCCTAATTCCAGCTGGGCGTGTGCAGAGAGGGGTTTTTGTGCCACCAAAATCTCCCAAATCTGTGCTGAGCGCTGGGAGAGGGAGGTGAGAGGGTACCCGGGGGGATGTGGCCTCAGAGGGGGTTTAGATGAGAGATTTGGGGAAATTATCTCATGGGAAGGCTCGTAAGGCTTTGGAACAGGCTGGTGGAGTCACCAGCCCTGGGATGTTCAAAACGCAGACGGATGTGGCACTGGGGGACAGGGCTTGGTGGTGACCCTGCAGTTGACAATGGCCCTCAATCCTGAAGGTCTCTTAAAAGCCCCAGGATTGTCACGGTGAGGGAAATGAGCGCTCAGGCCAGGGCTGCCTCGGGCAGCGTGGGCTGAGTGTCCCTCTGTCCCAGCAGGACCTGTCCAGCGTGTCCAGCAGCCCCACATCCAGCCCCAAGACCAAGGTGGCCGCGCTGGCCCTGCCCAAGCCCAGCCAGGTGGGCCCCACGCAGCTGCAGAGGAGGCAGGTGCCGAGGCCAGACGCTGTCCTGACCCACAAGCAGGCACAAGGTAATTCCCTGCAGCTTCCCCACCCTTCCAGCAGCTGTAATTTTGGGTTTTCTCTCTCTGGACCTGCGTAGGTTTTTATTTGCCCTGTCCTCTGTTGAATTCCAAGCTCCTCGTGGCAGCTTTCTTTGCAGCTCAGCTCCTGTCACAGCCTCGGAGGGTTGGAAGGGGGCTGGAAATGGTGTTTCTGCAGCTTGGAAGTGGGAAGGATTCTCTCTCTGGCTGACCAAGCCCCCTGCAGCCATGCTCTGACCCTTTTGGGACACCCTGGTCTGGTGTCACCCTGGGGAGACCCTGAAGGTGCTCAGGAGATGTTGAGGCTGTTGAGCCGAGGTGGAAAGCGGGATCTGGGGAATTCCAGACCCATCCTGTGGAAAACCTGCTGTGGAGAAGGAGCCAGCTTGGGCTGAGGGGTTTGTGTCCTGTTGGAGGCTGGTTAAAAACCTTTGGTCTGGTGGTGAGCCTGAGGAGTTCAGGGGGTGCTTCTGTGACCGAGGAGCCCTCCTGGCAAATTCCAGCAGCACCTGGGGATGGATCTGCATCCTCCTTCCCTCCTGGTCCTGCTCAGGGCAGACCTGGACAGGCTGGTGGGTGTCACCTGCAGCAGTGTCACCTGCAGGTCCATGGGTGTCACCTGCAGCTGTGACCCTGCAGCTGATGGATCAGAGATGGATTTGGGAAGGCCCTGATGGATCAAGGATGGATTTGGGAAGGCTCTGATGGGTCAGGAATTGATCTAGGAAGGCTCTGATGGATCAAGGATGGATTTAGGAAGTCTCTGATGGATCAAGGATGGATTTAGGAAGGCTCTGATGGATCAGGAATGGATTTGGGAAGGCCCTAATGGATCAAGGATGGATTTAGGAAGGCTCTGATGGATCAAGGATGGATTTGGGAAGGCCCTAATGGATCAAGGATGGATTTGGGAAGGCCCTGATGGATCAAGGATGGATTTGGGAAGGCCCTGATGGATCAAGGATGGATTTAGGAAGGCTCTGATGGATCAAGGATGGATTTAGGAAGGCTCTGATGGATCAAGGATGGATTTGGGAAGGCCCTGATGGATCAGGAATGGATTTGGGAAGGCTCTGATGGGTCAGGAATTGATTTAGGAAGGCTCTGATGGATCAAGGATGGATTTGGGAAGGTTTTGATGGATCTGGGGAGGCTCTGATGGATCAGGGACGGGTTTGAGAAGGTTCTGATGGATCAGGGATGGCCGGGCAGGCTGGCACGGAGGGAATTGGACAGGCTGGCACAGAGGGAGCCGGGCAGGCTGGCACAGAGGGAATTGGACAGGCTGGCACAGAGGGAGCCGGGCAGGCTGGCACAGAGGGAACTGGACAGGCTGGCACAGAGCGAGCTGTTTGTGGGCACGTTCCCCTCCCGGCACCCCGAGCCACCCTGGGCGCTCCAGCAGCCCCTTCTGTGTCCCCCAGCTGCGGTGGCCCCCGAGCCCGCGGAGGGGGCTGCCAGAGGTGGGCGAGTGCAGCTGAAGAGGCAGCAGAGCCCCGGGCAGTGCAGCACGGCCTCCAAACGAGCCAAAATCCAGGTGGCCATTGTCTCCCACCGAGATGCCACGGGCACCGGAGCAGCCCTCGGCACCCCGGCTGCAAGTGAGTGGGGACCTGGTGTGGCACCCGCAGGGCCTGGCGGGAGGGAGCTGTGCCTCCTTAGCCTGCCTTTCCTTGGGCCTGCCTTTCCTTGGGCTTGGTTTTCCTTGGGCCTGCTTTTCCTTGGGCTTGGTTTTCCTTAGGCCTGCCTTTCCTTGGGCTTGGTTTTCCTTGGGCCTGCCTTTCCTTGGGCCTGCTTTTCCTTAGCCCTGCCTTTCCTTAGGCTTGGTTTTCCTTGGGCCTGCTTTTCCTTAGCCCTGCTTTTCCTTAGCCCTGCCTTTCCTTAGCCCTGCCTTTCCTTGGGCCTGCTTTTCCTTAGCCCTGCTTTTCCTTGGGCCTGCTTTTCCTTGGGCCTGCTTTTCCTTAGCCCTGCTTTTCCTTAGCCCTGCTTTTCCTTAGCCCTGCTTTTCCTTGGGCCTGCCTTTCCTTAGCCCTGCTTTTCCTTAGCCTGCCTTTCCTTAGGCTTGGTTTTCCTTAGCCCTGCCTTTCCTTAGGCTTGGTTTTCCTTAGGCCTCCTTTTCCTTAGCCCTGCTTTTCCTTAGGCTTGGTTTTCCTTGGGCCTGCCTTTCCTTAGGCCTGCCTTTCCTTGGGCCTGCTTTTCCTTAGGCCTGCTTTTCCTTAGGCCTGCTTTTCCTTAGCCCTGCCTTTCCTTAGCCCTGCTTTTCCTTGGGCCTGCCTTTCCTTAGGCTTGGTTTTCCTTGGGCCTGCCTTTCCTTGGGCCTGCCTTTCCTTGGGCCTGCCTTTCCTTGGGCCTGCCTTTCCTTGGGCCTGCCTTTCCTTGGGCCTGCCTTTCCTTAGGCTTGGTTTTCCTTAGCCCTGCCTTTCCTTAGGCTTGGTTTTCCTTAGGCCTGCTTTTTCTTAGCCCTGCTTTTCTTTAGCCCTGCTTTTCCTTAGGCTTAGTTTTCTTTGGGCCTGCTTTTCCTTAGGCCTGCTTTTCCTTAGCCCTGCCTTTCCTTAGGCTTGGTTTTCCTTAGCCCTGCTTTTCCTTAGGCCTGGTTTTTGCTTCATTATCCCTGTTTTTGGAGGATTTAGCTTCAGGGAAAAGGTGGAGAGACTCCTGGTGTGAGTGTCTGAGTGAGCTTGGCAGGAGTGTTGCAATTCCACACTCCTGAGAAACAGGATGGGGGTGGGATCCTGCAGCTCCTTCAGGTCATGCACCTTCCTCTGGAGGCCTGGAGCTGCTGCTGGGAGCAGGGTGCTGGTGCTGCTGGTGCTACTGGGAGCAGAATGGGTGCTGGTGCTGCTGAGAGCAGGGTGCTGGTCCTGGTGGTGCTGCTGGGAGCAGGGTGCTGGTCCTACTGGGAGCAGAATGGGTGCTGGTCCTGCTGGGAGCAGGGTGCTGGTCCTGGTGGTGCTGCTGGGAGCAGGGTGCTGGTGCTACTGGTCCTGCTGGTGTTGCTGGTGCTGCTGGACCCCTCCCTCCACATTCCTCCTGCCCCGACCCCGCTGCTGCTTGTGGGGTCTTGGGGCAGTTGCTCCCTCTGCAATCCAGAGTTCTGTGCCCTCCAGATCCCCACCCGGCCGAGCTGCCTGCCCTGGGATTCCCATCCCAGCAAACCCAGCTCCATCCTGTCCCTGCACCCCGGGAAGAGCTGCTGGGCTCCATCTTCTGCCCTGAGCCCCGAAGCTCTGGCTGCTGTCCCTCAGCACCTTCCTCCCACAGAGCAGCCCCTGCCCGTGGGATTTGTGTCCTCCCACAGAGCAGCCCCTGCCCGTGGGATTTGTGTCCTCCCACAGAGCAGCCCCTGCCCGTGGGATTTGTGGAATCAGAGGCCAGCAGCTCCATCCTGCTGTGAAATCCCAGGTGTTCACAGCTGGGGAATGACTCTGCTCCTTTCCAGGCACCTCTGTGCTCCTTTCAGCATCTCTGAGCTGCCACAAGACACCAAACCCACGTCCTTCTGGAAGGTTTCACTAGATCTTCTGGCAGCTTTGAAAACCTCTGCTTTCCAGAATCGTTATTTTATTTTTATTTTTAATTTTCCCAACTTCTTTCCACAGAAAGGAAATGAATTGCAGAAGTATACATGAACCCAAAGGAGAATTGCCTCTTTGCCAGGAGGAGTGCACGAGGAAGGAAGGCAGTTGTATCCAATGCTGCAATAAATAAATTCCGTGACTTGTCGCATCCCTGTGTATTTTGTAAAGTGTCTTGAGCCAAGAATCCTTACAAAGCCACCCAGATCCCAGCAATCCATCCCTGGAGAGGAGGGGATTAGTGGAGAGAACCTTTAGGAGAGAGATTTGCATTTGGTGGCAGCGGCCTGAGGTTCCGTAGGGATTTCGGGAGGCGATTCCTTCCCTCCTGCCTCTGCCATTCCATCATTTCTGTGTTCTAACTGGATTTTGCTCCTCCCAGTCTGCCATTCCTGCAGGAGATGCTCTGGGAGCTGGATGGGTGCTTGGAAAAAGGGGGATCCCAGAGGAATCCCAGAGGATTTGTGGGGGACAGGGGCTGAGCCTTCTCCTTTTTGTCTTGCAGTTGTCTCCGGGAAGCCGCTGCCCCTGGGCCAAGCCGTGTCCAGCACCAAGGAGCTCTCGGGGCTGCTCTCCACCCCCAAGTGAGTGGGAATTTGGGAATTTGGGGGGCTCTTTCTCTCCTGCACGTGGAGCTTTCCGGTGTCTTGCTCCCCACTGGGATTTTCTGGCGTGGGGGAGGCTCCAGTGGGGCCTGGGGATGGCAGGAGTGGAGGTGCTGTGGCTGTGCTGGTGTCTGCCGTGGTTTCCCAACCTCAGGTGTGTTTATCTCTGTCTCTGTGGTGGCTTTGGCAGAAGTTCTGTGTTTAATCTTTCCTTTCTGGCACCTTTGCAATAAAAATAACGTTTCTGTGGCAAAGACAAGGGAGGGGAGCCCCAAATCAGCTTGTGAAGGGCATGAGCTGTGCACTGCTGGGGAGTAAATCTCACCTTGACACCTTTTCCCCATCCGAAAATGGAAACATTTTCAAGCTTTGGGGAACTGGGCTCTGACTGATCCCATTCCCAGAGGAGCCCTGGAGGCGTTGGACAGGGCTCAGAGTGACCTGGGACAGGGGGAGGTGTTCCTGCTGGTGGCACCTTTTAAGGCCCTTTCCAGCCCAAGCCATGCCACGGTTCTGTGGTCTGGGATAGGAGAGGAAGAAGAGCTGGTTTTAAATAATAACACCTGTTTTATTTATAAAATTAAATTTTAAATGAATAAAAAGTGGGGTTTAAGCAGGTGGTGACCCTGCCTGGGAGGTGAACACAGCCACCAAGCTCTCCTAGTTTAGAAACCCTTGGATTTGGCTGCTCCCCTGGAAGTTTCTCATGGAATTGATGATATTTAAGAGTTTTTTTTCCCCAGCCCTGCCATTCCCCTGCTGTGCTTGTGCAGCTCAGCTCCCTCCTCCCCGCCCCTGGCTGTGGGGCAGCGCCAGCTCTGTCCTGGCGCTCACCGGGCTCTCTCCCTTCCCTTTCAGGCTGAGCTCAAGCGCCGAGGCCTCGCTGAGCCCGGCCCAGGCCGGGATCCCCAGCAGCTCCAGCCCCAGCGCCTTCCACGCCCTGCAGAGCCGGCTGGTGGCCAGCAGTGGCCACGGCCTGCCTGCCCAGCCGGCCGCTGCCCTGCCAGGTACCGCGCCCGGGGAGCCTCTCCTGGCCCGGCCCGGCCTGCCTCGGCTGGGGCTTTGCCGGGGGGATTGTGCCATTTGGGGGGAAAACAGCAGAACCCCAAAGGCTGCCGTGCTCCACAGCCACCCTCTGCAGCTGCAGCAGGAAATGGAGCAGGGCAGCGGGGCTTGGGGTGGGTTTGGGGAAAGGTTCTGTCCCCGGGGGGAAGAGGTTCTGGGACAGGTTCTGTCCCCAGGGGGAAGAGGTTTTGGGAAAGGTTCTGTCACCAGAGGGAAGAGGTTCTGGGAAAGGTTCTGTCCCCAGGGGGAAGAGGTTTGGGGTGGGTTTTGGGACAGGTTCTGTCACCAGAGGGAAGAGGTTTTGGGACAGGTTCTGTCCCCAGGGGGAAGAGGTTTTGGGACAGGTTCTGTCACCAGAGGAAAGAGGTTTTGGGAAAGGTTCTGTCACCAGAAGGAAGAGGTTTGGGATGGATTTTGGGACAGGTTCTGTCCCCAGAAGGAAGAGGTTTGGGGTGGGTTTTGGGAAAGGTTCTGTCCCCAGGGGGAAGAGGTTTGGGGACAGGTTCTGTCACCAGAGGGAAGAGGTTTGGGGTGGGTTTTGGCAAAGGTAGAACCTCAAATCCCACACAGAGCCCTTTTTGGGGGTGAAAGGGACCTCAGATCCCAGCCAGGGCCCTTTTTGGGCTGAAAGGGACCTCAGATCCCAGGCTGACCTTGTCCTGCCCTGGTTTTTCAGGAGCAGCCTCTGCCAGCAGCCTGCTCCAGGGGCTGAGCTTCAGCCTGCAGGATTTGGGCACCAAGGCCTCCAGCCTGGCCCCCAGCGCGGCGGCTGCCGGCTCACCTGTGCAGGTGAGGGCCTGTCCCACGGGGCAGGGGAGGTTCTGGGGGGCACGGGAGGTTCTGGGGGGCAGAGGGAGCCGGGCTGTGCTGTGCCAGGGGTGTGCAGGCAGCCCCAGAGCTGAGCTGCAGAGCAGCCGGGAGGGATCAGGGAAAGCAGCACTGAGACCCTCAGGGTCCCACTCCAAGGCTGGGAGGGACAAATCCACCAGGGCCAGCCCTGCCCGGAGCCAGGGAGAGCTGTGGAACCCCCAAAGGCTCTGCTGGACAGGGGAGCAGCCACCCCAGCCTGGCCTGGGCCTAAAGGAGCTCAGGGCTGCCTCTGTCCTTACAGAGCCTAAAGGAGCTCAG